CGGCGTCTCAATACATTGCGAAGAGGTCCCACGCGAGAGCACGATTCCTGAATACATTGTAAGGAATTCCCGCGCAAGAGTGCGATTTCGGAATACATTGTGAGGCAGTATCAGGCGGGAGCCGTTGTTGTTGTAGCTGGGGTGCCAGGGGCACAAGTTGAGCAGGAAAACTTTCCATTGCTTTTTTGTAGAAAAAATGCGAGCCCCGAGGGGGGGACACTTCAATTGAAAAAATGCCATCTGCACTGGTGGGGGGGATCATCAACAACAACTCTTCACGAATGAGACGGCAACAACAACAACAACAACAACAACAACAACAGCAGCAGCAGCAGCAGCAGCAGCAGCAGAAGCAGCAGCAGCAGCAGCAACAACAACAACAACAACAACAACAACAACGACGACGACGACGTCGACGAAGACGACGACGACAACGACAACGACAACGACCATTTCGACGACAACGACGACAGCTACAACAACAACTACAACAACAAGCATTTTGAAACTGCTAGCCCTTATCTGCTCGCGTGCCTTTCAACACGTATATCCCGAACCCTCGCTACCCGCCCTCTTTGTCTTCGATCGTACCCCTCTTAGGGTTACATCTTCCCCACCTTCCGCGTGTAGTTGGAGCAACCCGTAAAACAGGGGGAGGGGAGGAGTGAAGAAACAAGGGGAAGGGAGAAGGATGGAGTACGAGAGAGAGCTGCAGGAGGAGGGTCAGGAGCAGCAGCACAAGCGGCAGAACCAGACGGGCGTGTCGGGCGGGCGGACCCTTAAGGGCAGGTCGGGCGGGCGGATCGCTAAAGCGTCAACCCATCATCATGAAGGCACTTTCGAGCGATAGCACGACTTCCAAGTGAATCGTTAGGACATCGTAAGCGAGAGCGTGATTCGTGAGTTTTGTGGGCACGGCGCCGCAATGAATTGTGAGGAAGTAGCACGCGCGAGCACAACTGCTGCATAAATTGTGAAGACGGTCCGAGCGAGAGCGCGACTTAGAAATAAACGTTGAAGAAATATCAGGCGGGAGCCGCTGTTGTTGTAAACTGGGGGCCAGGGGCGCAGTTTGGTGACCACTGGCTGCCCTTGTAAAAGAACAGGGTGCGAGCCCTGGGAGGAGCACTTGGATTCAAAAACAATCAACAATTACGCTACCGAGGAACCCCACATACTTAATTTAAATCTTATGTGTTTGCTTATGTATAATATATATATATATATATATATATATATATGCACAATCCTGCGTTCTGGGCCCTCGTCGCGAATGTTCCCTGCTAGGCTTTGCGCCAGTGTCGTGGATAGCGGCCGAGCTGAGAGACCACCCCCTGCGCACCCCCTGTGGTGTCGAGAAAGTGCCACGCCTGCTAGCCTTTGCGCCAGTGTCGTGGATAGCGGCCGAGCTGAGAGACCACCCCCTGCGCACCCCCTGTGGTGTCGAGAAAGTGCCACGCCTGCTAGCCTTTGCGCCAGTGTCGTGGATAGCGGCCGAGCTGAGAGACCACCCCCTGCGCACCCCCTGTGGTGTCGAGAAAGTGCCACGGCTGCAAAGCTTTGCGCCAGTGTCGTGGATAGCGGCCGAGCTGAGAGACCACCCCCTGCCCACCCCCTTTGGTGTCGAGAAAGTGCCACGCCTGCTAGGCTTTGCGCCAGTGTCGTGGATGGCGGCCGAGCTGAGAGACCACCCCCTGCGCACCCCCTGTGGTGTCGAGAAAGTGCCACGCCTACTAGGCTTTGCGCCAGTGTCGTGGATAGCGGCCGAGCTGAGAGACCACCCCCTGCGCACCCCCTGTGGTGTCGAGAAAGTGCCACGCCTGCCGCCAGTGTCGTGGATAGCGGCCGAGCTGAGAGACCACCCCCTGCGCACCCCCTGTGGTGTCGAGAAAGTGCCACGCCTGCTAGGCTTTGCGCCAGTGTCGTGGATAGCGGCCGAGCTGAGAGACCACCCCCTGCGCACCCCCTGTGGTGTCGAGAAAGTGCCACGCCTGCTAGGCTTTGCGCCAGTGTCGTGGATAGCGGCCGAGCTGAGAGACCACCCCCTGCGCACCCCCTGTGGTGTCGAGAAAGTGCCACGCCTGCTAGGCTTTGCGCCAGTGTCGTGGATAGCGGCCGAGCTGAGAGACCACCCCCTGCGCACCCCCTGTGGTGTCGAGAAAGTGCCACGCCTGCTAGGCTTTGCGCCAGTGTCGTGGATAGCGGCCGAACTGAGAGACCACCCCCTGCGCACCCCCTGTGGTGTCGAGAAAGTGCCACGCCTGCTAGGCTTTGCGCCAGTGTCGTGGATAGCGGCCGAGCTGAGAGACCACCCCCTGCGCACCCCCTGTGGTGTCGAGAAAGTGCCACGCCTGCTAGGCTTTGCGCCAGTGTCGTGGATAGCGGCCGAGCTGAGAGACCACCCCCTGCGCACCCCCTGTGGTGTCGAGAAAGTGCCACGCCTGCTAGGCTTTGCGCCAGTGTCGTGGATAGCGGCCGAGCTGAGAGACCACCCCCTGCCACCCCCTGTGGTGTCGAGAAAGTGCCACGCATGCTAGGCTTTGCGACAGTGTCGTGGATAGCGACCGAGCTGAGAGACCACCCCCTGCGCACCCCCTGTGTGTGTCGAGAGTGCCACGCCTAAGTTTGTGGTGTCGAGAAAGTGCCACGCCTGCTAGCCTTTGCGCCAGTGTCGTGGATAGCGGCCGAGCTGAGAGACCACCCCCTGCGCACCCCCTGTGGTGTCGAGAAAGTGCCACGCCTGCTAGGCTTTGCGCCAGTGTCGTGGATAGCGGCCGAGCTGAGAGACCACCCCCTGCGCACCCCCTGTGGTGTCGAGAAAGTGCCACGCCTGCTAGGCTTTGCGCCAGTGTCGTGGATAGCGGCCGAGCTGAGAGACCACCCCCTGCGCACCCCCTGCCTGCGACGAGAAAGTGCCACGCCTGCTAGGCGCGCCAGCGGCCGAGCTGAGAGACCACCCCCGTGGTGGTGTCGAGAAAGTGCCACGCCTGGGCTTTGCGCCAGTGTCGTGGATAGCGGCCGAGCTGAGAGACCACCCCCTGCGCACCCCCTGTGGTGTCGAGAAAGTGCCACGCCTGCTAGGCTTTGCGCCAGTGTCGTGGATAGCGGCCGAGCTGAGAGACCACCCCCTGCGCACCCCTGTGGTGTCGAGAAAGTGCCACGCCTGCTAGGCTTTGCGCCAGTGTCGTGGATAGCGGCCGAGCTGAGAGACCACCCCCTGCGCACCCCCTGTGGTGTCGAGAAAGTGCCACGCCTGCTAGCCTTTGCGCCAGTGTCGTGGATAGCGGCCGAGCTGAGAGACCACCCCCTGCGCACCCCCTGTGGTGTCGAGAAAGTGCCACGCCTGCTAGGCTTTGCGCCAGTGTCGTGGATAGCGGCCGAGCTGAGAGACCACCCCCTGCGCACCCCCTGTGGTGTCGAGAAAGTGCCACGCCTGCTAGCCTTTGCGCCAGTGTCGTGGATAGCGGCCGAGCTGAGAGACCACCCCCTGCGCACCCCCTGTGGTGTCGAGAAAGTGCCACGCCTGCTAGGCTTTGCGCCAGTGTCGTGGATAGCGGCCGAGCTGAGAGACCACCCCCTGCCCACCCCCTTTGGTGTCGAGAAAGTGCCACGCCTGCTAGGCTTTGCGCCAGTGTCGTGGATAGCGGCCGAGCTGAGAGACCACCCCCTGCGCACCCCCTGTGGTGTCGAGAAAGTGCCACGCCTGCTAGGCTTTGCGCCAGTGTCGTGGATAGCGGCCGAGCTGAGAGACCACCCCCTGCGCACCCCCTGTGGTGTCGAGAAAGTGCCACGCCTGCTAGGCTTTGCGCCAGTGTCGTGGATAGCGGCCGAGCTGAGAGACCACCCCCTGCCCACCCCCTTTGGTGTCGAGAAGTGCCACGCCTGCTAGGCTTTGCGCCAGTGTCGTGGATAGCGGCCGAGCTGAGAGACCACCCCCTGCCCACCCCCTTTGGTGTCGAGAAAGTGCCACGCCTGCTAGGCTTTGCGCCAGTGTCGTGGATAGCGGCCGAGCTGAGAGACCAACCCCTGCGCACCCCCTGTGGTGTCGAGAAAGTGCCACGAGCTGTGCTGTGCTGTGCTGAGCTGAGCCGTGCTGGGCTGTGCTGAGCTGTGCTGAGCCGTGCTGTGTGCTGAGCTGAGCTGAGCTGTGTGCTGTGCTGAGCTGAGCTGTGCTGTGCTGTGCTGTGATGTGCTGTGCTGTGCTGAGCTGTGCTGTACGAAGAGTGAGGTGTGTCGCGGGTGCGGCGCGGCAGGGAAGAAAACCAGAACCCCACGAAGCATGTGGGGAATAGATCTGCTTCGGCGAAGAAGTTACAAGCGGAACGGCCGTTCCGACATCCGCGAGTAGCAGCAAGAATGCCCTGAAGGACCCCCTTGTGGTGCTGAACTGCAAAATCTCAAGCGAAAAGGCCGCGCTGGCTTCCGCAAGTAGCAGCAACCTGGTTCTGAAGAAACCCCTCTTGCAATCCTAAATTGCGAAGACGTCTCAAGCGAGACGGCCGTTCCAGCATCCGCAAGTAGCAGCAAGAATGCCCTGAAGGACCCACCTGTGGGGCTAGATTCTCCAAAAGCCGAGAATGCTATTCCTGAGGCTCGGGCCCTCTCTGGCCAGAGCCTCTCGGTGTTGCTGTGAGAAAGTATCGCACGGGGGCGTTGTTGCTGTTGGGGAGCCGGTTTGGGCGCAACCCCGAAACGCTCGAGCGTCAGCCTCAGTTTCAAAGGCAATGCAGCCGGCGCCGAGGCGAGAGCGCCAATGCGCCTACAGGGGGTCCAACAAGAATTATGGTTCATAATTTACGCTCACCAGCCGCAACAATAACAAAAGCTATACTTAAGTCGGGCGTGTCCCCCTACAGGCGGATTTTGGTCGAAAAATAAAAATGAAATACTCCTGTCAAAGATAGTGAAAAATCGTCCCATGATTTGTTTATTATTTAAAACATGCAGACTCACCCTGTAGAGGGACAGGCCCGACTTAAAGCTGTGCATAGCGAACCCACTGCGAAGTTGTCCGAATTGCCAGAGGTCTGGGCCACATGCGCGGGGCAGATGCGGAAGAGAAGAACAGGCAGCAGAACTGAGCACAAACCATCAGAGGTCTGGGCGGCGTTCTCTCGGAGATGGACAAACCTCCTGTTAGTCAACCTCCCTTTAGTGAAAACGGTCCAGGACCGAAACCGACGGACCTGGACCCGCAAAAATAACGGCCGCGACGCCCTCTCGCGAACCGAAAACGGCCAATTCGCTAATCGACGTGTCAGAGTAGGAAGTCTATCCACCCCCGATTCTTTTAGAGTCGTTTTCCCACCCAGAACAATGAAAAGTGAGATCGGCGCTGGACCCCCTCCCTGGCGCGCGGAGCCAGGTGGGCGCTGGAGGCGACGCCAGGGGGGCCAGCGCAGATCCAAGAAATCTGCACGGACCTCTAAAAGCTGATGCTTATGCCGCTCGTTCTTCTCCGAAGAAGGAAATCGGGGATGGACAGAACCCCCTCTAGCAAAACGTGGTTTAGTAAAAACGACCTCGGGCCCAAGCCTGGCGGGCGCAAACCTGGAACATGACGGCCGCGGCACCCTCTCGAGAACCGAAAACGGACATCTAACTCATCGACGTGTCAGGGAGGGGGGTCCTGTCCACCCCCGAGGCAAGGAGGGACAAGAGGGAAGAGAGGGACGCCGGCCTCACCGCGCGGGAGGCGGGAGGAGCGCCGCGGCTCAGTCCCTCCCGCGGCCCCTGGCCTCTCCGAAGCTCTGGCTCACACGCGCGTGCTGGCCGTCCGAGGAGGGAGGGGACAGGATCCTCGCCTCTTCCGTTATGTTGCTCCCATCGTACTTCAGGACCACATCCCAGAAATAATTTCGAGCACCCGGAAAAGTGTCGAAAGAGTGTCGAGACAGTGTCGAAACAGTGTCGGGCGAGTGTCTCCCTGGGCCCGACACGTGAAAACCCCCGAGTTTCGGTACTTTTCGTGGTACTCAAAATTATTTCTGGTGATCAAGGCTAAAGTAGGTTGGAACATCATAGCTATTTGTTGTTTTTCATCGACAATCCCCGTGTAGGGGGACACGCCCGACTTAACTCGTCCACCCTCTTCCGAGCCTCCTGCGGGGCCCTCGTCGCCAAGGCTGGATCGAGGAGGGGGGGGGGGGGCAGGGAGGCCTCCGACGTCGCTCGCCCTCTGCTGAGCCTCCCGGGGGGGCCTCGCGGCCACGGCTGGATCAGCATTACAGGGGGAATACTCGAAAATAGAAGGAAAATAAAAAGTCTGGGGACTATTGTTTGATTTTTGTTTGGCCATCTTTTGGGTATGCGTGGGGTATTGTTTTTGAATTTTTCGCCCAAAATCCACCTGTAGGGGGATAGGTTTGACTTAAGATCAGCCTCAAGATGCTGGACAGAACGCGCTCCAGGAAGCCTGGGGCTCGAACTCCGAGGGGGGAGCCTCCTCTGCCCAAGCACATCAGCAGCATCCCGCCTTCGTCCATCCTCGTCCAGCCCCTCTGCCTTCACTCCCGTCCCACTGCTCGCTCCCCACCTCGGCCTCCCTCCTCCCCGATGCACCTCCTTTGCTCCTGGCGATCCTTCGCTCGAGACAGAAACAGACCGGCACTTCCTGAGTCTCGCCCTGGCCGAGTGTTCGAGCCGCATCCTGCGTCCAGCCGTGGTGACGAGTTCCCCAGGTGGCGAAAACTAATTATGACAACGTGCACACACACACACACACACACGAACGAACGCACGCACGGGCACACGCACACGCACACGCACACGCACACGCACACGCACACGCACACGCACACGCACACGGAAGGCCGAGGGCTTCTCAACTGTCTCTCGAGCTGCAGAAGGCCACCTGTTGGAGGCTTGGAAACTCGCACCAACACCGAGATGATCCTAGACGTCTGCGCAAGTGGTAATACTTCGGCCATCGAGGAAACCCGAATATTAGCACCATCACCAAAACCGGGATCATCGTCACACAGCGGAGGCAGCCGCCGGTGTTGCTGGTGCCAACCACCAGGCCTCTCGACTTAGGACGGCGAGGAGCCCAGGGGATGCTCCAGAGGAGACGCAGCTTGCGGAACATATACATCCTGGTCTTCAGAACACCCAGGAAACGCCCTGGACTGCCCAGGGCTGAGCAAGCGACGACCTGGCCTGTGAGGGGCGACAGGGAAGGCTCAGCCTCCGCTGCGAGTGGCTGTCGGAAAGACGGGCCAGCTCACGCACGCGCAGGAGAGGCAAGCCGCAGTGAAGGCAGGAGGGCACGGGCGGAACCACCACAAAACAGTCTCACCCCAGGGCGCGCGATGTGTATGAGGGCTCCTGCGCCCAAGGCCCTGGAGTGTGCTCGCTTGTTGCCAATAGAAGACGGCTTCCGAGTGGTGCGCAGGAATGCCTGGAACGGGCACGCAAAGGCAGGGGATGATGAAGAGGTACGCAGAGGCAACAGAAAGACAAACGCGGACCTCCTCCTCCTCCTTCTCCTCCTCCTCCTCGTCCTTCTCGTCCTCCTCTTCCTCCTCCTCCCTCCCATCCTTCTCCTCCTCCTCCTCCTCCTCAGCCTCCCTTCTAGGCCTCCTCCCCCCTCCTAATCGAAATACGCTCAAAATTTTGGTGCAACTATGCAAATAACCACAGGCAGCACTACACCCACGAACAACCTGTTGCACCTTCGCATACGACCGCACTGCGGCCATGACCATCGGGGAAGGACAACAGAACATCGAAAAGGAGTGGCATCCGTTGGGGTTCGTCACCGCGCTGCGCACCGACGCCAGCAAGGCCCAAACCTGCACGATACAACCGCGAAGGTACGACAGCCACCACCTGCAGAGCAAAATGATGAAGTGCCTCGGAATCGCCTCCACGCTGCAACGCACCACCAACCACTGGCCGGGAGCGAGGCAAGATCGAGGAGACACTCGCGCGCATAAAAAGCGGAATGCGCGCCTGCCCCTTGAGCACGCGGCTGCACACGACCGGTGCAATCCAGGAACATCTGCAACGAGCACCAAAGGCTGTAGCGCTGCGGAAATGGCCTCGGGCAGCTCCAGAACTACTCCAGCTGGGTTGAGTGATGGGGCGTAGCACAGACCCGACAAACACTTGAACTTTTGGCTCGCAGACTCCGACGGCAAGGACCTGGAGCACTTGCACATTGGGACAAGGTCACGATCACCACAGGAACCCAGGGGCTCGCTGGGAGTAAGGCAAAGCGACGACGGCTTCTGGAGAAGCCCGGATGGGGAGCTGCGGCTCACCGACAGCGCAGACGAACAGCTCCACGAGCTGCGTCTCGTACTCCGGCCATACGATTGGGCGATCCCACAAGGCGGGAACCGACGGGAGAGCCCTGTGGCGGCAAGCGCGCCAATCCTGGCTGGCGCCGTCCGTGCATCCTCGAACCTCGAACCTCGACCCTCGACCCTCAATCCTCCGATACTCGAGCCTCGATCCTCGAGCCTCGAGCCTCGAGCCACGATCCTCGATCCCCCCGTGGAGAAGACGTCCATAGTAATCGAACCTCGATCCTCGAGCCGCGGTCTTGGGCCCCGGGATGGCCCTGGCCAGGGACAGCGGTGTGCAACTGGCGTCCCCCGCAACGTCGCCGTCCCCAGGGCCCCGCCAGGTCTTGCAGGCCTTCGGCATCTTGGTCGGCCAGTAGTTGAGGTTCTCCTGGGGAGAATCGAATCGAAGAAGCCAAGCCATGACGGCAAACCGGCTGCAGCTACAGTGGAAAAGGAACAAAACAGTTCCATAGCGGCTCGCCTGCTTTATCCCAAGCGGGAGGGGAGAGCACGGGGGAGGGAAGACCACTGTCCGGCAGCACCGCCGCTCTCTCTCTCTCTCTCTCTCTCTCTCTCTTTCTCTCATAAAGGTGTGCATTGTTCGAATTCTCCACGGGGAGGAAAAAGAGAAACGATAAGGACAAGTGGCAAGAGGCATGTGCGCGCATCGCCGAAGAGGCCCGACGCACGGGCGCGCAGCTGGTGGACTACGACAATTCGGCTTGGTCGCAAAATACAAATGATGACTGGCTCCACGGCCAGGATTCGCAGAAGGGAAACGATGAGGAGGGGTCGAGAACTGGACGCTCCTACGGGTGGGACGCATGAAGAGGGAGCATCGGGCATCATGGGGAACGAGAGCGATGAGGCAGGGGGTGGAACGATGAGGAGCAAGTGTTGGATGATAAGGACCGGCGGCGGACGATCTTGCGGAAAAGAAACAACTAAAGAGTCGGCGAAGGATGAGGATGGAAAGAGGAAGGAAGAGAGGAAAGGACGAGGAAGGAGACATGCTACAGTATGGGCCGATGGGACATCTGGCGACTGTATGTCAATTTTGTATGTTAATTGCTAATCAATAGAAGCAGACAGCCAGCATCGGAACCTCTATACCACCCCTTCAATACCCCACGTGTCGCAATGTTGTTTCGGCTGTGTTACGTCTTCCGCGGCGAAGCACAATTATGTTACAGCTAAAATCCCTGGCGTCTATTCATCCATCCTGTGGCCTCATACCTCCACAACAAACATGTGGCTAAATGCGCATGGGTCTCGTGACCAAGGTGCACACGATCCGAAGGTGGGGCGACGGAGTCGAGTTCTCTCGCGAGCTAAAGAAAGCCAACACAAAACAGGAAATGAGAGGCCTCGCATACTCGGTACAGCCTCATGCCCCTCTTCCTCTTCCCCCTGAACTCGACGTGCGTCACGACCGGAAAGGGAAACGATCGCGTCGAACTGCGCCAGCCGCCCACTCGGGGCGCCCCCGCCAGCGCCACAGCGGAAGCCCGCGCGGCCTCGCGCCCGAGGGCGGCGCGGAGCTGGCGCGCTGTGGCGCGGCGCAGCGCCGCATTCAGCTCGGCGCCCCAGCAAACAGAGGCACGCCAGCAGCGGCGTCGGCCCCCGGCCCGTTTCCCAACAACTGGGCGCACCCCCAGCCAGAGCAGGTACTTCAGCACCACCAGCCAAGGCGCGCGGCCGGCTGGGTAGCAACGTCTCTTGTCGCTCTACCTCGCCCCCCGCGCCGTACCGCCGTCCGCGTCCGCAGCCGTCGCCCGGCCGCCAGCCTCGCCCGGCACGCTGTAGCGAACTGCGACATCCGCTCCCGGCCGCGGGCAACCTGCCCACTGCGCTTGCAGGTCGAGCAGCGCCTCTTCGCGGCGGGCCTGCAGCGCGGCCCCGCATGCGTGGCAGGGCCCAGCGAACGGGGCCCCAGCGTGGCCGCGCGACGCGCAACCAGGATCCGAGCACGTCCAGCGCCAGCGGTCCCAGGCAGGGGCGCGCACCTGGCGTGCCGCATGGAAGCCGCACGCGGCTCATGTTAGCCACATCCCAAAAATTCGCCGGCCCAACGGGCCAGAGGCGTGCTAAGATCTCCGGTAACTACTTAACATTATTTCTAGTTCGCGCGCGCGGGGCGGCCCTTGGGGGCCCCCGGACGACAAGTACCCCCGCCGATCCCCGGCCGGGTCCCGGCTGGGTCCCGGGCGATCCCCAGGGCAAGGATAGTGGCCTCCGACGGGGGTGGCTGCAATCGACTACCCTCCCTCCCGCCCCAAGGGGTCCCTCCCCAAGAGCCCCCCAAGAGGCCCCAGGGGAGCCCAAGACGCCGCCGAGGAGCCCCAAGACGCTCCCAAGAAGCCCCCAAGAGGCCCCCAAGACGGCCCCAAGAGGCCCCAAATGGCGCTCCAGGGCCGCCGGAATGAGCGAAGCGATTAAATAATTTCGAACACCCAGAAAGGTATCGAAACAGCGTCTGCCAAAAAAGTTAGCGAAGCGTCGAACGAGCATCGTATCCCAGGGCGTCGCCCTTCAAGGCCCTGCAGTTATGGAACTTTCTGGTGCTCGACTTTTTGCTGGCGACCATGACACTCGGCGCGAACGCGCACCCAGTCGTCTTCGACGTCCCTATTGCGGGCCTTCGCGCCCCCTCCGCAAGCGCAGCTGAAGGCGCGGTGCGCTTTGCAGCACAAGGGCTGGTCGCAGGGCCGCCTGGCGCGCGCGCCCGTCCGCAGCCAGTTCCGGCAGCGGCCGTCCAGTGGCGCGAAGTACTGGCCCACCAGCGCCCGAGCCGAGGCCAGGTAGCCCTCGTTATCGAGGTGTTGCCTGGGCCCGCCTTTCGCCAGCTGCCAGCCGGGCGAGCGCGCGCCGCGGGAAGAGCAGAGTCTCACCCGGTCCTGGGGGCCCCGAGTGCTCAGCAAGGCGCCGTAGTTCTTATTATGTAGCCTACGCGTGGGCAGCTTATAAATTTGTTCCCGAGGAGCCTTGGCGAGCTCACGCCAAGGCGGCATCGGCGCGGCACCATCCCTCCTCCTCCTCGGCGGGGCGCGGCCGCGGCAGCGCGCCCAGCGCGTCCCTGCAGGCCGCGGCCAACGGCAGGGCGGAGGCGTCCAGGTCGGCCAGGCCTGGCAGACCGCTCCTCTCCAGTGTGTCCGCCAAGCTCTGCGCCCAAAAGCCGTCCCAGGCTGTGGGGTATATGTCTTCCTGGCTCTTGAAATCGCACCCGCCGAGGCGCAGCGGCAGCCGGCACTGGGCGCCCTGCGCCGCCGTCAAGGCGCCCAAGTGGGTAGACCTCAAAGTGGGGCCACGTCATACCGTAGGCGGTGGCAACATCCCGCGCGCTCTCTGGCGGGCTGGCGCGCAGCAGATGCGCCATTTTCCCCGTGCCGCATCGCCGCAGGAGAAGGGCGGCCGTCTGCGCCACGCGCTGGCGCGGCGAGGCTAGCCCTGGCAGCTCCGCGAGTCTTCCCGGCAGCGTCGCCGCCCGCGGCACCGTCTCGGCGCGGTGTTTTGCGGCGTTGGCGGGCGCTCCGAGGTCCAAACGGCGCCCGATCGCAGCGTCTGGTTCGCTCCCCGGCAGAAGCGGCTCGCCCAGCGGGAGACCTGCCAGTGGGAGGCCGCGCGGGCACCACTGCTCTTCGATCCCGACGGGGCACGGCGAGCGCGGAGACCAAGCCTGCGCCTGGCGCGGGTGGGGCTCAAGGCCGAACTTGCCCTAGGCCTCTTGCGCCGCGGGGGCGACGGGTGCTGCTAGCTCGGGAGGCGTGAAAACAATCACGTCGCCCAGATAGGCCATGACGCCAATGTCGTCCGACGCGAACACCCCCCTTCCCACCCATGGGGAGCAGGAGACGGCCGAATCTTGATACCCCTCTGCTGGGGGCCGCCTGACAAATCGGGCTGCTGTGGACGCGCTTGGTGTCGAACTGGTCAGACTGGACGTTGCTCAAAGAGTCCACCCGACAGCCTGTTTCCAGCCCCCCCTCCCGCGCGGAGTCCACCCACGAATGCGACGCCCCGACTCCCACTCTCAACACGCCCAGCGCTGGACAACGAAATCCGTTCAAAACCGGATCCCCGGACCCCTCCTCCAATGAAACCAAGCAACCTCCTGGCCCCCATAGGAGGAAGAGGAAGGGGCGGCGCCGTCACAGGAGGGACCCCGATGCCTACAGCGACAGCAACAGCGACAGGAGGAGGGGGCAGGAGGAGGAGCAAGAGGAGCAGGAGGAGGAAAAATGGAGAAGGAAAGGGAGGAAAGGCGATGGGGGGAGGAGGAGGGGAGAGGAAGGGGAGGGGGAGGAGACGCGAAGAGAAGGGGGAGGAGCGATCCCCAAACGACCCCCTGTGACTGCATTGGCCCCTCCTGGGGCCCCTCCTGACCCGCGTTCTCCGAGCCGCGGCGGCGATGCCGTCCGCAGGAGCGCGCTGAGAGAGCTCCAGGACGGCAACGACGACGACAGACAGACGGACAGACGGACACACGGACACACAGACCACACCAGACCTGACCAGACCAGACCGGACCGGACCAGACCAGACAGACAGACAGACATACAGACAGACAGACGGACAGACGGACGGACTGACGGACGGACAAACGGACGGACAGACCTGGCGGAAGAAGAGGAGGAGGAGGAGGAGGAGGAGGAGGAGGAGGAGGAGGAGTCCGAGCGCAAAGCCTGGCTGGGGGCCGGCGCAATCCAACAACGCTCTGCGTCAGCACCCCGAAGACGACCGTTGCATGGCGCCCAAGCCACCAAACATTGGCCATCCCCGGGGGGAGGGGTTGCGCGCCGGTTGCGACATACAGACAGACAGACAGACAGACAGACAGGCACGCAGGCAGGCAGGCAGACAGACAGACGGACAGACAGACAGACAGACGACGGCGGCGACGCAGGGTCCACGACCCCCACGCGCCTACTGATGAGCAGTGCGGGGCGCATCCCCCCAGACATGCGATGCCCTGATTGTTCCCAACCCTCCTGTGTTCGGTTCTCGTTTTGAGTAGAGCATTGTGGTCTCCACTCATTCCTGCCTTCCTTCCCCGCCTCCGCCTCTTCGTCCTCCTCCTCCTCCTCCTCGTCTTCCTCCTCCTCCTCCTCCTCCTCCTCTTCTTCCTCCTCCTCCTCCTCGTCCTCCTCTGTTGTATTATTGATACTAGTATTACTATTATTATTGGTATTATTAGTATATGATTCGTCTTCCTCTTAGTTGTATTATTTTCCGTGGTATTTATATATTCTAAATTATTCTATTGTTATTACTTGCCGTCGTACATTTGTCCCAACCATCCTGTGGTGTTGGGTTTTCGTTTTGAAGAGACGTCGCCCCGCGTTCCTCCTCTCCTCCTCTCCTCCTCCTCCTCCTCATCATCCTCCTCCT